GACCATGTAAAACTCATATTAACGATCATCTTCCTTTAAATTACCCAGCATGTAATAAAGCATAACTGAAGTCTAATACCAAGGGTGGGAAATTTATTCAATAGAAACTCAGAAATGACACCAGTATGGCAGCATACACTTGTAATCCCAGCAATTTGGGAGTCTGAAGCAGGAGGATCACTAATTGGCCAGCCTGGGCAACTTATTATTGTTATTCTTTAGAGGAGAAAGGTTTATTTTGGCTCATGGTTTCAAAGGTTTGGTTTATGGTTGACTGACTTTATTACTCTGGGCTTATGGTGAAGCAGAACATCATGGTGGAGGAGCATAGTGGAAGAAAGCTGCCCAGTTCATGACAGCCAGGAAGCTGAACAACCTGGGCAACTTAGTGAGACCCTGACTCAAAAATTAAAACAACAACAAAAGCCTTAGAAATGACACAGATGATAGAATTAGAAGACAAGGGCTGGAGATGTAGCTCAGTGGTGGAGCCCTTGCCTAACACGTGTAAGACTCTGGATTTGATCTCCAGTATTACCACTGAAAAAAAAGAAAAAGAAAAAAAATTTAGAAGACAAAAACCATTGCAACAGGTATTTTAGTACATCCCATACATAGTAAAATATATTTAAGAAAATAGAGAAAGTAATAAGCTTGATGAGGAGAGAAATACCATATATACAAACAGGTTTTAATTTCCAGAGACGAAAAATAATATTTGAATTAAAAGGTCTACTGAATGGGATCAATAGCAGCTTAGACGCTGTAATTTTTTTTCCTTTTGGGTACTGGACTGGGTCCCTACTGAGTACATCCTCCAGTCCTTATTTTTATTGTGAGACAGGGTCTCTCTAAGTTGCTGAGGTTGGCCTGAAACTTTCAGTTCCCCTGCATCAGTCTCCCAAGTTGCTGGCATTACAGGCATATGCCATAGCACCTGGCAGCTTAGACACAGTAGGAGAAAAGATTAGTGACCTTGAAGACATAGCAATATATATTATAAGATATGGAACACAAAGAAAAAACAGCACAAAAAAAGAGAACATTGTTAAAGATCTTAGAATATCATTGAGTGATCCAGGGTACGTGTAATTTGAGTCCCAGAAAGAGAAGTTAAGCGGGGAAACTGAAAAAAAAAAAATTAAAGATGTTCTAGTTAAAAAATTTTAAAGTTCATTTCCTTAAACTTCATTTTGGGTACAAATATATTTGATTTTTTGTTGTTTTGTTTTTGTACACTCTTGTGGAAACCATTCCCACCAGCATCGTATGCAATTCTAGTTGCCTTGGAAACACACCAGTAATTGGTTATTTCCTTCTCTCCTTCCTCTCTCCTTTCTTCTAGCTCTAGCCATTTTTTGAATGGATATGTAATGGTACCCCATTTTTTTTTTGTATCAGGGATTGAACTCAGGGGTACTCAACCGCTGAGCTACATTCCGGGATGGCCTTGAACTTGTGAATCTCCTACCTCAGCTTTCCAAGTAGCTATAAGTTTCCTTTTTTTCCTAGTTTGCTAAAAGTTTTTATTGTAAACAAATGTAGGACTTTAAAAAGTATTTTTCTGTATATGTGGGTTAATAATATGACTTTTCCTTTTAAGTCTGTTGATGAGGTAAACTGCATTGACTTTCAAATATTGAACAGCCTTTAGTTTCTGGGATACATCTTACTTGATTATGATATACTTTTATGTATTTCAGGGTTTGATTTGCTAGTAATTTTGTTGAAAATTTTTCCACTTATGTTCCTGTGGGATGTTGGTCTGTAGTTTTCTTTTCTTATATGTTATTATTTGGTTTCTGTATTGGGGTAATGCTGGCTTCCTTAGTGAGGCATTGGTGGTGTTACTCTTTTCTGAATTTTGGAAGAGTTTATGAAAATTGGTATCACTTCTTCTTTACCTATTTAGTAGGATTTGAACATCTGAAATGTTCAAATTTCAGATGTTGTAGGTTTTTAAGTATAGATTCCAATGCTTAAATAGATATGAAACTCCAGTGGCTATCCATTTCATCTTCAGTGAAGTTCAATCCCTAGTACCAAAGGAGAAAGAAGAAAGAAAGAAAGAAAGAGAGGGAGGGGGGAGGGAGATAAATGAGAACAACTCTGGTGTTTCCCTTTCTCCAGGATCACAGGCCCTTAGGTCCCACCTCCACTGCTTGCTCTGCAATGCCATGATGCTGATATTTTATCTAACTTTTTAAAGTTGTTTTCAGCTATTCTATTAAGTTTACTGACTATTCTATTAAGGCCAAAATTAGAAGTCCCTACATTCTCCCTAGTTCTGCCTGCTTCTATGAGCAGTCAAAGGACAGGTAAAAGCAGGAAGTATAGAACAATCAATTATTTATGGCTATTTATTTCCCAGATGAGTTTGTGGCAGGTCACCTAGTTTTCCAGGAATAACCTCTAGACTTTACACAGTTATAAGGTCTAGCTTCCATGGAAATGACCAGAGTAGTCCTTTTGACCTGGCTTTGCCCTGAGTAACTGTGACTTTAGACAAATTGCTCATCTTCTTTAAGCAAATTGTTTCCCCTCCTCCTCCTCCTCCTCCTCCTCCTCTTCCTCCTCCTCTTTCTTCTTCTTCCCCCCCTCTCCTCCCTCCCTCCTCCTCCTCTTCCTTCTTTTTTTTTTAAACCTAAAATTAGCAGTTAATTTGCTTGTCTTACAGGAATATTGTGAGGATGAATAGTGAACATATAGGAAAATCTTTTGAAAGACTGTGAAATCCTGCAGAAACAGAGGTATCTGTTACTAACTTTTAACCTCATAGTTCAGAAACAGCCCCAGAACTGGGAATGAGTGTCTCAGGGTATGGAATTGGGTGAGCCACAAACTAGCTGTTGATTTTGGGTAAGTCACTTAGTTCTTTCTGATCCGTAATTTGAGAGTTTTTAATGAATCGATTTGTATGTGATGTGACCAAAAGTAAATAAATAAACCATTGAGTCCAAGTCAGTTAATTGAGAGGAAGAATCTTCCGGGTTAATTCTCTTCCTTTTGGCAATTGGGAATCAGAATCTTTTGGGAAAATATGCTGTGGCCTGTACTGAGGTGATAAAGATGTGTGTTCTTACATCTTCTCCAGGGAAAGGAAGATGGAGGAGAGAGGGTCAGAGAAGAGGGAGATGTGATCATTGGCTTCATTTCACCTGCACAGAACACTAGGGTCTGTGCCTATCATTATGCCTGGACCTAGTTACAGAACTCACAATTACTGAAGATAAAAATGAAAGGGGGCAGGGGTATGGGGAGAGAGTGTGAGACAGGATGAGCGAGGGACACTTCACAGTCCTCCTGAGAGTCAGACATCAGCTTGGAGATATCTGTGAGTAGGCTTACTTTCAACACTGTTGCCTCATTTTCCTGAATAACTGACAGTAGGACCCTACAATTCTAGAATTGTCCAAGTTCTTTCTTCTATTTAAACTATTTAATTTTCAGCATAAACTTATGAGATAGTAGGAGGTAGAGCAGGAAAGGCAAAGGGGCCTGAGAGGTGATATAAGTTGCCCTAGTCCCACAATGTAATATATATTTACTCTGCAAGGGATTGTGTGTGTGTGTGTGTGTGTTCATATGCTCTCATCCATGTGTATGCACAGAACTTGGGAAAGATAAATATTATTATTATTTCTTTTTTGGTACTGGAATTGGACCAACTGTCTCATGCATCATAGGCATGTGCTCTACCACTGAGCTCCATCCCCAACCTCTGGACAGTTTTGAAGAACTATCTTCCCTTTTTTTTCACTCATTTTCTCCATATCTGATCAATCTCCAAGATTTGTCTCTTTTTATTCATCCTCTTCTACTGCTTTAATGAGAGCCTCAGTCCAACCCGGACAGTTGCTTTCGTCTCCTGACTAGACTCCCTGTCCCCACTGTAATTAAATACACCCTCCTCCAGCATCCCTGTTCTGCTCAGAATCAGTCCATACATTCAGCCTGGCCAACAGAGCCCCTAGCTAGCTGGTATTTGACTGCATTTCCAGACTTATGTTTTATAGACCTTCCCAACCCACTCACATTTCCCCTCTTCATTTTGTAGCTAATTTCTTCCTTTATTTTATCCTTCCTTAATTAATTTATCAATAATTTCCCTCTATTCTTAAATTCTTGTAACCACTTTAGCTTGTCAGAGTAGGTCTCACTTCTGTGCCTTAGTCAAAGCTTCTTCCTGACATGGTGTATATTTCCCCTTCCTTCTCCATCAGTGATTCACTACTACAATTTTTTTTTTTTTTTGAGACAGTCTCGCTATGTTTCCCAGGCTGGTCTCCAACTCCTGGGATCAAAATACAGGAGCATCTTTCAGGGCTCTGGACTCAAGACAAGTGCTTTCTTGACACATCTGTCTTTCCTCAGTGATTCTTATGTCCCATGATGGCAGAGATGTTGTCTCATTCGTCTTTGTGTCCTCAGATCCCTAAACAGCTGCCTGTGTGATAGTGGGTACTTAATGAATGGATTAATAAAAGAATTCCTTGCCACATGTGGCACTGAATCATGTGCAGTCCTGCTCTCTGTCATTTTCTAGGAAATGTTTTTCCAGTACAAAATTATGTACATTTCTGAGTGCAGAGACTTTTTATACCTTTCTTTTATCTGCTGTCCAATGCCTTGTCCAGTGCTGGAAGATGTGCTTGTTAGGAGATACTTTAGCAAAGTAGTCTTCAAAATCTATAAATATTGCTGGAGGCAGTGGTACAGATCTGTGATCCCACCTACTAGGGAGGCTGAGGCAGAAGGATAGCAAGTTTCTGAGGCCAGCCTGGGCAACTTAGTGAGACCCTGTCTCAAAATAAAGTAAAATGAAATGAAGTGAAATATAATGAAATAAAATAAAATAAAATGGGTTGGATATGTGGCTCATTGGTAGCACATCTCTGGATTCAACACCTAGCATACACACACACACACACACACACACACGAAAAGAAAAAAAGAAAAAGAAAAAAAAAAGAAAGAAAAGAGGAAAAAACCCTACATATATTTAACTTCAGATTTGCACTCTATGGGGAGTGAGGGCAGAAACCTTGAAGGAGGGCCTGAGATTTCAAGAAGGAGGGGCCGTCACATTTGAATGAGGGCAGGAAGTCAAACCAACCAATGGCAAGAAACTCGCCCCACTCTAGCTGAGTTTTCCTTTTAGTCCTTCACTGAAGAGCCATAAGGAATTCTACAAGCCAAGGTAAGCAAGGGCCTTGGGGGAAAACAGGAGCCTGATGTGCCAAATTTCTTAATAGTTCATATTTAATCACAAAATTCAGGTGGTTCTGTGCTTATACAGGAATGCCACCATTCACACAATAAAAGGTGATCATAAGTGTTTAATGAAATTGTATTTTGTATGCTTGAAGAGATCACATTTTTAAAAGCAATTCCATGAGGAAGGAAATTTTCTGTAAAGCAAAGACTCATCTCAACATGAACCTATATTATAAATGTGAATGTCTTGTATTAGGCTTGCTTATGCTGAGGCTCAAATGTTTAAGTTTCTTGATTCTTTTATTTTGCTTTCAAATTTAATTAGGATCATTGACATTCATGCTGATCATTCTAAATGTGGGCTTCCTTGATTTAACTTGAAGTCTTGTTTAGCTCCATTCCCCCCTACCCACCCAGCAATATTTGGGATCTGGGCTTTTCTCAGCTCTTTTCTTCCCTATATCCTTCTTACTCATACAGCTCAGTGGGGCCTCCCCCAGGCAAAAAGGAGCAGTTACCCAAGACCCTTTCTTTAAGGGACTAAGCAGGGTCTTTCTAGCCCAGGTCCTGGTTTCCTGGGTGACTCATGGATTCATTCCAATTCCCCCTGCCCTTCATTTCTCTTCTTCTGTTTTATTGCCCCTTCCTTAGCTATTCACAAGAAATACAGTTTTATCTTTCATTATTTACTTTAAATTCTGCACTAATCTTCCTAATTCTCGTTCTTAAAGAAATCAACTAACTCTCTAAAGGACTTTAATTCTGTGTTTCCTTGTAACTGGCCTTAGAAAGTCTCACCAGCCCCTCCTGAGAGAGTAACCAATCTTTTAGCCATGGATCTGAGTTTGTTTTTCAGTTGAGAACAGGAGATGGAGAAAGCAAGTGGAACACAGTCCATTGCTCTGCCCACAGTGGACAATGGCCTAGAGAATCCAGGGCTGGAGCTCACGGTAATTCACTAGTTTCTCTTCTGCAGGGTGTTGTGGGCTGCTTTATGGCTTCCTTTAGGGGCTACTCTCAATCTCCTTCACCTCTGGCAGGGCTCTGTGACTAACCTCAGTTCTATGTTTGTTTACAGACAGAAGTAAGTCCTAAGGCAACCAAAAGGACTGAAGTGCAAGATCACAGTTTTGAGGACAGTCTGGAGTCTCCCTCTTACCGAAGGTATATATATTCTAGAATCTAATTCATTTACATTCTCAGAGAGCTTGTCTTTTTTGTGGCAATGAGACTATAACCACCCCACATCACCATATGCACATATTTGTATTTTAAATGATTGTTAAATAAACCTGTGTCATAAATAAGTTCATCAGTGTTAGTTAGACTGGGGAGTACTACTTTAATATTTTTCTTTGCAGTAGAAAATTGAGGCTTAGAAAATAACTTACCCTTATACTGATTAAAAAACAAAAAGTTTTTCTGGAATACTTAGATTTATGGATGGATAGAAAGGGAAACATGGGAATCGGGCAAAACAACTTACTGGAAAGATGATAAAGAAAGACAGAGTACAGAGTCTTGGAAGTGCAGGGAAGGAACTCAAGGTTGAAGGTACAATCCAAAGTGTTATGTGAACAGCGTCAAGAAAGAAGTGAGAAAAATCTTTGAATTTGATCATGGATCTGTGTTAGAAATAATGTTGAAGAAAGTTTGTTTGGATAAAACAGGTTAGTGGGAAGCCATGTTCCATGGTGTGGAAAGGGGCTGGATATTATAAAGAGAGCAAAAGTCATACATGGAAAAAGGAAGTGGAGAATATGGGATAATTTGTAAAGAAATGGGTGGCTATGATCATAGATGTTCCCAAACAAAAGGTTGTTTTATCCTCTTTATTTTTAACAACTAACTCAGTGACTTCTTCAGTCTTTTGTTTTCTTTTCTACAGTTTAATAATTTAACTTATGTTTTTTTTTAATGTAAATACATGTCAACACAAACATTACCATTGTTTTTCCCTTGATAAGCTCTTTGTGTATTTTTGTGCTTACTAACAGTTTATACTTTGCTTACCAGTATGGTAGTTAGTAACGTGAATTCCATAGTCTGACCTCTTAGAATGATATCTGAATTCTATCCAGTGGGGTGCTGGTAAATGTTCAAGAATTGGCTCTCCGAATGTAGTTTTGCCATGAATATTGATTGATATTTTTGCTGATCTTAGTGAATAAGACCGGGTGCTGGTAAGATTTTCCTGTAATGGAAAAAATAGTAAATATTTTAGATTTTGGGGGCCATAAGGTCTCTGATGCCTTTTTGAATTCTAGCATTTTAATGGGAAAAAAATCCACAGGATGTACAAAAAAAAAAAAAAAGATGTGGCTGTGTTCTAACAAAACTTTATAAAATGAAGGTAAATGGATTTTGCCTATAGTTTGGTGATCCTTAGTCTAGATGAAATAATAAATTAAGCTGTAATTTATAGCATTTACCTATAGTTTTAAGTTATTCCCAACGTAGTTGATGCTGAGGTATCTGCTGAGGAATCAGACAGATGTCACTGAATAAGAAGTTGGGAAGAGCTGCACGATTGTACATCATTGTAGGAGATTTCCACCCTACAATAGATATAAATAACTTCAAGAGTTTAGATGGTAGTAAAATGCGGTAAAATAGGAAGTGGTGAGTTTTGAGTAGTTATTATCTTTGTTTTTAATGTCATTTAACTGTAGGTTTATGTGATTTAATTTTTGATGAAGACTAAAAAAATTCCTAAAAATTTAATTATCTCCTCTTTTGAGCCGGTACAAGCAGCTTTCTCTGCACCACTTACCAGATGCTGGGTAGGTTACTTATCTTCTCCAAACCTGTTTTTGCCCTGTAAAACAAGAATAATATTAGCACTTAGCTGAAAGGATGTTGGTTTGTTTGTGTGTGTGTTTTTTTTTTTGTGAGTGTGTGTGTGTGCCAGATTGTCCTTGACACCTTAAATTGCTCTAATGTGTAATTATTTCTGGTTCCTCTCATTTCTTGTCAACTTTACATTTCTCATATAAAAACATTAAGTAGCTATGTACTTATAAAATCATGCCTTGAAGTTTTAACTTGCATTTCTTAAATTGTAGCAAAGCTCCATGTTTCTCCCATTTGGCGTCTTTGTATGTGACTTAATTTTTCTTCATCGACTATAGTAGATGCTGGATTTTGAAACTCATCTTCTCTTTCCTTAAATATTCAAATAGCACTCATACAGATTTTCTTGTTTCCAATTTTCTCCATCTCTTGCCAACCTATCCTATATAGCTTCTATCAGAACTGCCTAACGCATAACTCTGAACTCCTTTGTTCAAAATCTCTGTAGCATGTGTGAAGCCCTCCCTTCAATAGCCAGTACTGAAGGGGGGGGGGAAACCCTAACAAAAGACATGAAAGACCTCTACAATGAAAACTACAGAACACAAAAGAAAGAAATTGAAGAAGACCTTAGAAGATGGAAAGATCTTCCCTGTTCTTGGATAGGCAGACTTACTATTGTCAAAATGGCCATACTACCAAAAGCACTATAACAGAGTTAATGCAATTCCTATTAAAATTCCAATGACATTTGTCATAGAAATAGAAAAAACATTTATGAAATTCATTTGAAGAAACAAGAGATCCAAAATAGCCAAAGCAATTCTTATTGAAAAAAAGTGAAGCAGGAAAAATCACAATACCAGACCCTAAAGTATACTACAGAGTCATAGTAACAAAGACAGAATAGTATTGGAACCAAAACATATATGTAGACCAATGGTACAGAATAGAAGATACAGAGACAACCTACATAAATACATTTTTCTCAAACTAGACAAAGGCATCATAAACATACATTGGTGAAAAGATAGCCTCCTCAACAAATGGTTCTGGGAAAACTGGAAATGTAGTAGAATGTAGTAGAATGAAATTGAACCCCTGTCTCACCATGTACAAAACTCAAAGTGGTTCAAGGACCTAGGCATAAGACCAGAGACCCTGTAGCTACTGGAATACATTTTTTTCTTTTTCTGTACCAGGGTTTGAACACAGAAGGGCTTAACCACTGAGCAACATCCCCAGCCATTTTTAAAAATATATTATTTAAATACAGGATCTCAGGCTGGGGCTATAGCTCAGTTGGTAGAGTGAGTTCTTTGCATGCACAAGGCCCCAGGTTTGATCCCCAGCACCTGCCCCCCCCCCCGAAAAAAAAAAAAAAGAATCTCACTGAGTTGTTTAGGGCTTTTCTAAATTGCTGAGGCTGCCTTTGAACTTGTAATCCTCCTGCCTCAGCCTCCTGAGCCACTGGGATTACAGGTATGTTCCCCCACACCTGGCCCTAATTTTTTTTTTCCTTGATTAATGATCTGGGATTCTTTGTGGGATGCAGTATGAAGTGTGGCTTTAAACTGATGCTTTTCCAAACTGATATCTAGTTAGCTGCTCAACAATAGTTAATAAGTAGTGAGTTCTTCGATTCTGATGTTTCCTCGGCTTTGGAATTCATTAAGTTAATGTGATAGTTTGAATTTTTATTTTTAGTTTTTAGGCGTGCTGGGGATCAAACCCAGGGCCTTGGGCATGCTAGGCAAACACTATGCAGAACTATATCCCAGCTTTTAATCTATATTTGAGTAATTTATTTCCTTGTCATAATTGTTTACAATGCACTTTAAAATTTGGCGGGCCAAGTATTTGCATTAGTTTTCCCTTTTAAAAATATTCCTTGGAACCCAGTGTGGTGGTGCAGGCCTATAATCCCAGCAATTCAGGGGAGGAGGATAACAAGTTTGAGGCTAGCTTCAGCAAGTTAGTGAGACCTCAGCAATTTAGTGAGACCCTGTCTCAAGTTAAAAATAAAAAGAACTAGGGACAAAACTGAGTGATAAAGCACTCCTGAGTTCAATCCCCAGTGCCACAATTATTCAAATAACTTATCTTCTGAAATTGCCAAATTCTAAGAGTATTCCCAGCTAGGAGGGTAGCTCAGTGGTAAAGCATGTGTGCTTAGTATACAGAAGGTCATAGGCTCAATCCCTAGCATGCACGCATGCATAAGTAGATAAATAGATAATTAAAAATATTTCTGAAGGGAGTAGAATTGTTATTGCATTAATATTATATATTAATTTAGTTGCTGGGTGTGATGGCATATGCCTCTAATCCTAACAATTCAGGAGGCTGAAGAAGGAGGATCCCAAGTATAAGGCCAGCATCAGTAATTTAGGGAGACCCTAAATTAGTGAGGCTCTGTCTCAAAATAAAAAAATAAAAAGTACCGGGAATTTGGTTCAGTGGTAAAGTGCCCCTGGGTTCAATATCAAGTGCAACCCCCCCCACCTAAAAAAAAAAAAAAAAGAATGATTATAGAGTGTTGTCATGTTTATTTAATTTTTGGGGGGTGGTCTTCCAAATCAGGACAATGGTTTAACCCAGTTTACTGATGTCCTTTTCATCTCTCCCGCCTCCTCCTTCCTACGAATAGAAGCCAAGGGTGCTTTACCACTGAGCTACATCCCCAGCCTTTTTTCTTCATTATTTTAAGACAGGGTCTTGCTGAATTGTTAAGGCTGACCTCAAATTTGTAATCCTACTGCTCCAGCCTCCCAAGTCACTGGGATTACAGGTGTGTACCATCATGCCCGGCCTACTTGTCTTTTTTATAGCTGCCACTAGAGTTATAATTTTATGAAGTAAATTTTCTTTTTATTTTATTTATTTATTTATTTTTAAAATATACACTCTACTTAAGCTATATTCTCAGCCCTGATCTGTAATCTTTTTTTAAAATTTTTTAATTTATTTTTTAGTGGACACATCTTTGTTTGTATGTGGTGCTGAGGATCGAACCCGGGCCACATGCATGCCAGGCGAGTTCGATAATGCTTGAGCCACATCCCCATCCCCAATTTTCTTTATTTAAAAAAAAAAATTTAGTTGTGGTTGGACAAAATTCCTTTCCTTTATTTATTTATTTTTATGTGGTGCTGAGGATCTAACCCAGCACCTCGTACGTGCTAGGCAAGCAGTCTACCACTGAGCCGTGACCCTAGCCCTATAAAGTGATTTTCTTATTTATTTATTTATTTATTTGTTTGTTTTTAGTTATAGGTGGATACAATACCTTTATTTTTTTATTTTTATGTGGTGCTGAGGATCAAACCCAGTGCCTCTCATATGCTAGGCGAGTGCTCTACCTCTGAGCC